AGCAGAGGGGAGAGGTAGGTGTGTCTCTGAAGATGAGACCTTGCAAGAAATAAGAATAATTATAGGCTTGTTTTTTGCTAACACATTTTTTTCCAACCTTTATTGGATAGAGATTGACTTTCCCAAACATTGCTATGCAGGGTTAACTTCTAGGAGAGAAATTTCCTCGTGGCACTGTTGTAAACTGATTGTGCTTCTGCATCTCACTGCTGCCTTCGGCGGCAGAATGAACTGAAAGCCTTCGTCTGTAGCTGAAAAGTGTTAGCATGTTTAAACTCCTGGTGAAATGTTTTTCCAGCTAGTGCATGCTTCATCTTTAAAATATGCACAGTATTTTTAATGTGAGCTGCAGTGACACATTTTGTACACCAGCTCCTTCATAACTGCTTTAAGTGTTTTTCATGCAAAGCGCAACTTGAGCTTCTTCTCCTTTCAATCCTTAGCGTATGGGCGAGGCAACCGAGCACTCTCCTTCTCCCTGCTTTTATTTCTACCACGCTACTTCCACAAAACTTGGGATCTTGGCACTTTAGCACTTTTTATTTCTGGGAAGTTCATGTGAAATAAATTAAAATACTCCAAGGAGAAGAGTGCAGTACTGAGAGACACGTATTAACCTAAATCCCTTGGTGAAAACAGCTAGGCGAAAAACACACATCCCGTACCCTGCCTTCTTGTTTGCACCTAAGGTCTGCTATCAGTTAAGCCCATGTTGGATATTGAAATATTCTCCGATTCAGACTTTTAGGTTAGGAATGTGTATAATGCTTTTTTTTTTTTTTTGCACGTTTGACATGTATAAAATTACAATCTAACTCTGAAAATCTGGTGCCATGTAAGACGGTGTATCAGGCCTGCAGCTGCAAGTAATTGCGTTCTGTACGGGAGCATGGGATCAAAATGTGGAAAAAATACGGATAATTCATTGAAAGCAGCTAATTCATTCTGAATGGTGTGCTGATGGACATAGAACGAAACAAAGGTCAGGGTAAGCAGAAGAATTCACGACTTCTTCTGTATTATTAGGAATGTGGCTTCACTGAACCAGACTTAAGAGAACACCCCGTAGACTGAGTTATTCTGTGGTTGATTGACGTGGTGTTGCTGCTTCTCTTTCAGATGAAGTGGACTACAGTAATTTTGGGACCAACACGCTATCGAGGAAGAAGAAGGCTCTGGTGACTCTCCGCAACGACAATCTCCGCCGGCGCCCTCACATTAACATTAGCATGCCTCATGATTTTAGACCGGTGTCTTCCATAATCGACGTGGACATTCTCCCCGAAACACACAGGAGAGTGAGGCTGTACCGACACGGGTGTGAGAAACCCCTCGGGTTTTACATTCGCGATGGCACCAGCGTGAGGGTTACTCCTCACGGACTGGAAAAAGTGCCCGGCATCTTCATCTCTCGTATGGTTCCCGGGGGGCTAGCGGAGAGCACGGGCTTGCTGGCTGTCAACGATGAAGTCCTGGAAGTTAACGGCATTGAAGTAGCAGGAAAGACTCTGGACCAAGTCACAGACATGATGATTGCCAACAGCCATAACCTTATTATCACGGTCAAGCCAGCAAACCAGAGGAACAATATTATCCGAAGCAGTAGGATGTCTGGTAGCTCTGGCCAGTCTACAGACAGCACTGCTAGTCACCACAGCTTGCCTACATCCCACGTGCTGCAGAACTTCCACCCCGATGAAATGGAGAGTGACGAAGAGGCTGACATTGTCATTGAGGGCGGTCTGGAGCCACAGCACATTCCGAAACTGCACAGCCTTACTTCCAGTAGCCTCTCTCGAATCAATGGCAGCAGCCTTAGCCACAGACTTCAAAGGGACCTGGTGCTCAACAACAACTCTGGCCGAGAAAGCAACGGCAACATCCACAAATTACTCAGTTCCTTAAAAACTGATCCCCGGCACAGTCTGGTTATCCCCAGAGGAGGCATCGAGGAGGACGGGACAGTCATTACACTTTAGTAGCAATTCCTGCAACTCTCTTTTCAGTCTTAAGTGCCAATGAGGACAATTAAGTCTTGCAACACGTTATGCACAATTACAGAGAGCTGATATTCTCGTAGACCTCAGAGGTGCAGAAAATTGTTGCTGTCTAGGAAACGTGGCATCTGGAGTTAGACATAAGACTGTCACGCACTGCAGAATTTGTCAGGAGAATACCAGGGTGTAAAACCTGGTTGATATCCCAGCCCTGAAGTGAGAAGGCGAATTAGTTTTAGTTTGTAGAAATCTGAGCAGTTTTATAGGCCACCACTGGCAGTGCTACGTACTTGGGTTTGAATGCATGGGTGGATGTATTTATACATGCATGTATATGAATTAGGTTTTAATAGTAATAACAGACATGTCTATTTGAAGTGGAATCTGTTTTTCCTCTAATAGGAGTTCAAAAAGAGCGCTTCTTAATAGCTATCCGTTCTTCTAGCATCACAGACAGATCTTCCACTCATTTGTTTATTCCATATTTGCAATGTTATGTCTAATCCAGACACGCTCTATAAAAGGGGCGGTTTCCTGCTCTGGTGGTAACAGTGGTAGGGAGATGCTGCAAATCCATTTTCCAAATGAAAGTAGATTTTATATATATATTTTTAAAAAAGCCTGGGGTGCGGAGGTTGGAGGACGTTGACGTTATTGCTTTGAGATCAGCACCACCTGCTGGTCAGAGGCAGGCCTGCCTGCAACACGATTTTGGACTGTCCTGGAACAGAAAACCACGACACCGAGGGCTTCAAACCAGGTTCAGCACCATTATGTGTAAAATCTATTCCTTTTCTTTTTTTCGATATTTATTAGATAATACCTCTTTTTCATTTTTTTTTCATTCTGTTTTTTTGTTTTTTTGTTTTTTTTTTTCAATTTTATGGTTCATGTGAATTTTAGGGATTCATGCGAGAAGGCAAAAGTGGAAGAGTATGCTAGGACTGTCCCCTTCACCACCAAAACAGGTTCTTGCTACGTGTATGGGGCAACCAAAATCCCACAAGGTCTTTCCTTACAAAAGATTGGCCAATTGCTGTACAAGCTAGGGATGTCGACTCTCTTTCAAATCTAACCTTAGAGTAGTTCTCTTATTTTTGGACTCTTCTAGTAATCATAAAGCTTAATGTCTACACATGATTTCTAGAAACTTAGAGTGTACTGGGTGTTTGCGATGGCTGGACATCTCTACTGGATGCTGGTTAAGGGGTAACCAGCGACTGCTGAGTCAATAACCGTTCACTTCTGAAAATGCCATGGATTTATTAAAGTGGTCAAATCTAAAATATTTTGTTATACCTTGATCAGTGTAAGGAACAAAATATGTTTTACAATGTATTTTTCTACTTTTAGCTTGTGTCACTTTCTGTTTGTTTTTAACTTTGTAGTACATTAAAGCTTTTTTATATGGTGAACTAGACATTTCTTAAATATTGTATGGTTATGAAAATTCAGAAGTCTTGGTTTGAAAAAAGTTACATTCCATTTTGGAATTTGTAAAGGCTGGACAAAGGATGTTTGGACTAATTCATTACTGCTGATTAAGAATACCTGTGGAACAGCCAGTCTTCTGCTCGTTGTTAAATGTTTTGGACGCTGAACTTAGTGTGTTTCTTTTAGATTTGCTTTGAAAGTTTATTTTAAAATCCTTTCACTTATTCTAATTAAGCCTCTTCTAGGTGTCACAGCAGATATTGAGCTATCCTTATTTTTCCCAGCACAATAAGAACAGCACATTGATCCTGTTTGTCTTAAAAATGTTTGTACTTTACCAAAGGTTTTCATTTTTTTTAAAAAAATCTGACTATATCAGTGCAGTAAAAAAAAAAAAAAAGAGAGAGCTGGATACGCTTCAGTCAATCAGACCATCTTATCAGAGGATTGTGTTATATCTTAAATAAGACAACTTCTTTAAATAAGTGGATTTGTCTGGCTGAAGTTACTCATTTTGCCTTATTTAACTGATGAAATTGTGACCTCCTGTCTGCAATAAAACGTGCACTAATCTTACATCTATGCTATATCCTTTCCCCTCTCCTGAAGCACATCTTTCTGCAGAAGTGTTTTACCTCCTTGTTGAAACAAGACATGTTTTTTTGGCAACTCATTTTGTTGATACCTTTTTCTGTACTATTAAAGACTTAGCACAGGTAACAGCCAGAAGAGTGAAAATTTCCTCCCTGTGCTGCCTTTATTAAAGGGTCCAGCTACATGGATTTGTATGGGAACCAAGTAACTTGCAATACTCTTCATAGCATGACTTCTTCAGGTCTCCTGTCTTCCTTGAGTACCTCAGGTACTTCCAGAGCTTCAGAATAAGCTGAAGATACCCCTGTCGTGCTGATACGCTGCAGAGCCTTGCTTGCTTGGAGGAAGGCTCTGTGGCAGTCCAGGTGAAGCAGACAAGGCCCTTCATCCTCGGAAGGGAGAAACACGAGTTGCATTTCACACCCCAGAGCTTCAAGGGGGACGAATAAAAGCATTTCACCCTGGCTTTCAATCACAAGTTGAGAAGGGCAGAGCATTGACAAAACCAACTTTGGAGCTAACACTTTGTAACGTAACTCTTAAGGCTTGCAAATGTACTGCCCTTGTTTGCATCAGGTAAAAAACAAGAACAAAACAAAACAAAAAAAAAGCTTTTATTTTTGTATGTACCATTCTGAAAGGTCCCATGTATATATATACACACACATATTAGTTCTCTCTTTAGGATTAACTCTCTTTAGGACCCCTTTTTTGGTCTGTCACCTGGTTCTGCTCTACCAGGTGGGAGAAGCTCAGGCAGAAACCAGGGAACCTTTGGGCGTAGCGGGAAGTGTCCCTGCCCAGGGCAGGGGGGTGGACTTAGATGGTCTTTAAGGTCCCTTCCTGCCCCAAACCCATCGGAATTTCTGTGATAAAGCAGGCGGGTGGCTGAGGGGACAGAGACAGCTCCCACCTCAGGCACCCTCCACCCTCCGCTGTGGTGAGGGCGGGCGGGCGGCGCCAGGCGCGGGCACGGCCCCCTCACGTGATGGCGGCGCCTCCTCCCTCGCGTAATGGCGGCGCCGCCTGACGGGACGGGCAGCGGCGGCATGGCGGCGGCACCGGGGGGGGACGGCGACGGGGCCGGGCCGGGCCCCAGCGGGGGTAACGGGGACAGCGGGCACGTCTCCCAGAGCCACAGCAACGCCTCCGGGCTCGGCGAGCAGGAGGACGAGGAGGGGGACGCCCTGGAGGCGTCGCTCAGCGCCACCGCCGCCGCTTACACCGCCTACCTGCTCGTCGACCGCAGCGCCTTCAGCGAGCAGGTGGGGAGCGGCGACCCGCAGCGCCTTCATTTCGTTTGTTTATTCGCTTATTTATTTATTTCGGGGAGCCGTTGCATCGTCCCAGCGTCTCTTTGTTTTTGTAGTTTGTTCCTTTCTGGGCCAGGCGGGACGTAGCCTCGTCCCCCCCCCCCGTATCCCTCCACCTCACCATCTCCTAAGCTCAACCGTGTTTTGGCAGGTGGAGAGCCTGGAGAGGAGCCTGGACGAGCTGCTGACCAGGGTGGATGAGTTCGTGGGGATGCTGGACATGGTGCGTGGCGCTGGGTTTCGGTATGGGGTTGTATTTTGAAGTATGGGGCAGAAGGGAAGCGGCCTTTGGTGTTGGCCTGTGGGCTCCCGTACGGTAAGTCACTGGAGAGAGAACTTGTTCTGATCAATAATTCATGGATGAACATTACTGATCCTCCATGCACGAGCAAAACAATGTTCACATTTAGCTATATAACTGCTTTTGTATACGTTTGCAAGTGTACATACATGGAATCTCATTTTTGGATAGCACAGCGACAGACACTTAAAAAGACAATGTGATAATCATCCCCCTTTAGTATACATACAGACATTTTACGTGGTTTTAATGATTAAAGCGTCTGGTTGGAATTGCCAGACTCCCAAAACTACACACGAGTTTAGGGCAGGCCCGCTCTTACCATTTTGTCAGAAAGACAGCTTTGTTTTTGCGTCCCCATGAGAGGAGAAGGGGGAACTCCGCGAAATGCCCATGTACAATGGCACTGGTATACAGGCCGCCTTTGAAAGCACAGTACACATGGTCCTGCAGCTGTAATCTAAGGGCAATGTAATTATGTTTTTTATTATATCAATAAAAGTCCACTAAATCTTGCTTTTTTTTTTTTTGGTAAAGATGAGGAAATGCACAAGTAGCAAAACTGAAGTCAGAACTTCAGTCTAATATATTTGATTCTCTAGTATGTCTTACATCTTAATTCTGATAAGGTTATAGCAGCCTGTTTTTGATATAGCTATAAAATTATTTGCCTCTGCAAAATAAATTTTGTTCAAAGGTACTTGCTAAACTGTACAAAGAAGCTAGATTATTAGTTTTGATTTAGTGCTTTTAATCTGTTAGTTTTGATAAGTGTAATTGGAACACAATTCTAGCTTCAGAAGTGAAACCTGGTACATAATATTTTGTTTTATTAATCTCTTTCTATTATCTGTTGGAATCTTGTTTAGATTAGAAGCGATTCCTCCCAAGTCATCAATGAAAGCATACCCGAAATTTACACAAAAGCTACAGAAATGAGACAGGTATACAAGAAGATTGACAACCTAGAGGTATGTGCTTGCCATCTTCTACATGCATTCCGTTTCTCAGCAGGGGGAAAGAATCGATGATACGCTATAATCACGTGCATGTGCATGAACGTGGGGCGGGCTCAGATTCCTTCTTGTTCTTCAGTGTCCAATCCAGCTCTCTTTCCTCAGAGTGATGAAGACAAAACAGTTATGAGTTTGAGTTTTATTTCCAGAGACTGTTGATGTTCTAAAAACAAAATGCCTTTTTGTTCCTAGATTTGCTGCTCGAAGCAAGGCAACCGTCCTCTTTTCAGAAAGCAGTAGTACCACTTTTCCTTCTTTTTGTTATTGATAGCATTATTTTGATAGCGTTACTGTCTTCAAAGCTATTTTTAGACTAAAAGAAGGAGGGAGCTATTGATTTCTGATAAAACTTCAAAATTCTAAGTGATCCAGATTCTTGATCCTGCTTTTGGTTAGAAAGGCAGATAAAAATCTAAATCCTAATAAGTCCAAATTAGTTATTTGAAAAACAAACGGGAAGAGGAACAATAATTGTTTTATGAGATTTAACCTGTTTTTGTGGGCTACTAAGTATCTCATAAATAACTTTTAGCAATAGATTGGGCTTGTAGGTAGAAGGAAATAAAGTATGGAGTTTTTTGTTTTGTTTTTACTTCTCATTGTAGTAGCAGTACTGTTACCGCTGTCGTGTAATACAAAGTCCTGTTTCTATCTATTAGTGAAAAAGTTGTGCTTATTTATCCATTTATTTTCCGATAGGCTTTTGTGAAGATGATTGGAAACTGTGTGGCTGGAATGGAAGAACGGGTCACAAAGGCAGAAACAGACCTCGGAGCTTTCCCAAGCACATTCAAGAAAATCTTGCACACAATCAGCATGCCATCCTTCCTTAACGTAAGTAAGCTTTTGTTAGCATGTGTCCAGCTTAGTTCTGTTTACCAGACAGGATTGTTAAAATAATTGTAAATTTCTTACACCTATAACTGTATTTAAATGTAAACCTTACATACTTTATTAACACTATCGTGAAGTTCTCAGACTTAATTAAAAAAACAAAGCAAAACAAACACTCAAAAAATCACGAATTCTTAGAAGGATTTGAGTTGCATTCCAAAGGTAGTTTGAATATGTGTAGAAGAGAACATGAAGGGCACAAAAAAAGTAAAGAATGACCAAGCCTTTATTAAAGCACCTCTGATAACATGAAAGCAGGTAGAAAGAGCCTGTACAGCCTGTTAAAGGAGCATACTGCATTCATATAATCACTGACAAAATGTTATCTAAAAAAGGAAGTAAAAGCTGTGCTACACAATATTTTTAAAATAAAGGTTCTATTTATACACAATCTGTGCAGTTTAGTAATTGTGTTAGCACCTTCTTAAAACTTGGTAAAAGGGGTGTGATTCTTTTCTACCTTTCCTCATGACTGTGTGTGGACTTTTTCCACTTCAGATAATGTGAAGTACTCTCTCTAGTATGTTTCAAGGAGATTCCTTATCTAGTCTTAGAACTAGTGCATAGTGTCAGTTTTTAAAATAAATTTTGAATTAAAAAAGAAAATCTTCTGGCCCTCATATGAACACCTGATGCTTCTTTGCATCACCTGCCAATACACCACACACAAGTGCTCCACCTTGCGTTTTGTCAGCACCCAGTATTGCTGCACTAGCTCAGGTCTCCATCTCATAATGCTGGGGAGAATGCTGAAATAAAGCAGGTTTGCGGAGGGGGCGAGGAAGGTATTTGTGACTGTTGAGGTGTTTGTGTTACATACTGTAACTGTGTGGTAGCAGAGAAAAATAGCTCTAAATAGAGTATGTATTGTGTTGGTAAGACTTGGTTCAGGAAAACTGAACCCCTGCTATTTTCTGTGTAATCTTAAAGTTAGTTAACTTCCAGTTCCTCTGTAGTTTTTTTTTGTGTGTAAGTTCAGGGTGATGTTGCTTATTTCTTCTTTTAGAAAAACAGCCCTCCCCACTCCCTTAAAAAAAAAAATCAAAGCTGCTATTTATAGGCCAATTACAAAAAAAAAATCAAACAAACAAAAAAAACCACAATGGCAGTTGTAGCTAGGAGTCTAGTAGCCTTAAACTTTGGCCTTGAAAAATATTCAACAGTATTTTCCATAAAATTAAAATCTTCAGCTGAGAAGTTTGAGAGTTCTAATAGTGTTTTTTTGCTGTTGCGTGGGAAGGCTTCGTCAGCTTATTTTTTTCCACAATCAATAGGGTGGAAAGTCTTTGAAAGAGTCAGCAAGCAGAACCTGTCACATCCAATGGTTTTGTGGTTTGGGAATGGATAGGAATATAATCAACACTCAGAACTGACTGGTATTAATTGATAAAGTAAATAAAAGCTAGGTGACTGTTCCACAGTGAGCTGAGTATCACATAGGAAAATATTTATTTTCATCAGTAAACACACTTCTGCATGAATGAAAATGCGTATAGAGATTTTTCCTCATGCTTGATGTTTAGCTAGCTTACACAATACACACGCCCTTTGGAAAAGAAGGAATCAATGTCATGGTTTTCATTGTGGCTGTTAGTTCACAGTTTCCTGCAAAAACTTTCATTCGATCAAGTCCCCTCACATTCTTCCCATTTGAATGTCCGTTTCTTTACGGAAAGGGTATATTTTGTATTTCTTCAGCTGTGTGTTTGTAATCTCACCCTCAGATTTTGCCCCAAGTTCTTCCCTTGTGAATGCCAGGCAATATAAAGTACAGTACTCTCAGGCTTCTAATAGCACTAAGGATGTAGACACTCTCAAAAGGTAAAAATGTCTGCTAAGCAGCTGCAAACATTTGTAAACGTGTTCTTAGGCAACTGTGGGTACTGTGCCTGCCTGTGTATTTCTTCATTGGATTTAAATCAGCCCCTCCCTGCACACATGCAAATGCAACTTAGAGTGGTGAGCTGCAGAACACCTGTGACACTAGTTTTTCTTGCTTACAAGCTGTCTTCTTGTAGACCAGTGCAGGATAGGAAATGTTATTTTAAAAGGGAACTTTGATTTTGAAGATTGTTTTCTTCATGAGTCCATAGGAATTCTTAATGAATGAGATCTTGGCCTCAATCCATCTGTTTAAGGGCACGTACTGAAATCATACAATGGCTCTGTGTTGCAGTGCAGTATTACTTAAATGCACTAAGGCTGATGTGATAGTCGGTAGTGGTCCCTGCTGTTGTCCACCTACAGGAGACGTTTGGTATAGCAAAATAATGTACACATAATATTTAGGAGCGTATGCACTTTTCCTGAAAATTCCAAATTTACTACTCTATTATTTTAACAGCATGTCATAGAACATATATTCTAACATTTATACTTACTGAAGAAGCTCAGCAGGAGCAGCAACCTTCTTGAAAGAAACATCTGCTAGGTTTGTTTTCATATTTATTAAGCTAAAAAAAGTCTTTATGAGAACACAGGCTAGGGTTAACAGAGGGAGTGGCTGAGGAGAACTCAAAAGGCTGGAGGAGGAAAGGTAAAGGTTTGTGGGTTTGGGCAGACAAAGATTACAGTGACTTGACCCTTACATGTTTGGCTCCTGCAAAGTTGGCATATTTACTTTTTTGCAAGACTGAGTCTGTTCAGGTGATAGAATGGCAAAAGCCAAAGCCAGTTTTCTTTGGTAACATAAATAATATGCTAGACCCATCTGAGCTGTGGTTTAAAGTCACCTGAGGAAGAGGATATGCTGTTAAAACTCCTTTTGTCTTGCATTTTAGCTCTGTGGGTTTTGTTCTGAAACTTGTATTTTTAAGGAGGTGAAAAATAAACTTTATCTGATTTGCAGAAATCGTCTTCCTCACGACAACAGACCCCCTATGAACCTCCAGTCCTCTTCAAGACTGAAGACTATTTTCCGTGTCTTAATGAAGCACCTTATTGACAATTTTTGTTCTGGGATTGGAATTAATCAGCCGGAACAGAGAAAGCCAAGTGAACAAAAGAAATGCTAACCTCAAAACAGCTGCATTTCTGAGCGTTATTAATGGCATATTGCCATTCTGATTCTCATTGTCTTCCTTCAGGCAGTGTTTTCAGGTAATCTTTGTTTGTGAATATTCTTTGAAAAGTCTTCCTAAAACACAGTATACGTTTTCAGATTATATTGGGAAATGAACTTCTACAGCAGGGTTGTGTTTGTTCTGTGTTTTTTTTTTTTTATAGGGAAATAATAGGAAACATACTTTTATATTATATATCTTTTAACACTTCAGTATCTGTGCTGCTGCAAATGTAAATAGCCGTACCTCAAGGATGTCTTTTTTTTTTTTTAATATACTGACTGAGGTGAAAGAAAAGCTCTATGCATAAAATCATTGTAAGTTTTGGAACTTGGTCCCTGCACTGTGTGTAGACAAGCGCACCGCAGCAGGATGTGCAGGTGGCAAGGGGAGGACTCGGAAGATTGGTGAGGAGTCAAGGACATGGCTTGGCGTGTGGGATCCTGTCCCAGTTCACAACACAACATCCCGGCCCTCTGATGACCAGCAGGTCACTGTGGCCACACCTTCTAATTCCTGCAGCGTTGTGTTGATCGATGTGGAGTCAGGTGGGCATGGTATATATGATCTGCTGTCAGAAAGAAAAAGTGTGTAAACTGAGGCAGGGCTATCCCTGGGCTGAGCCTTTGTAGGACACCTGCCCTGACCTTACACTTCTCCCTTTCAAACCTCTGTGCAGTGACTGGTGCTGCTTGTGCTGACTGGAGTGGGAGTAAAATGTCAATAAACTAATGGCTATCTAACACCTGGTGTACTCTTGAATCACACCTGAGGGTCCTGAACTGCACAGTTATTTCTGAGAACCTTTTTGTTACAGCCTGCTGTAACATCCTAGCAGTTGTTAATCATTACTTGTTATGTTCTTAAAATCATTAGGCTTTAAAAACAGTTTTAATATAAAAGCAACACCTGAACTTCAACACAGAGTCTAGAACTTACACTTACATGGGAACACACAGGAAAGAGCAGACGCATTTCTATCAAGAGGAACACCCAAATACTCTCTCTCACCACTCCTTACTTTCTTCAATACCTAAGCATTTCGCTCTAGACATTCCATTGCAGCAGCAGTTGCCTTTCCAAAAGGCAGGGTACCTGTCCATTTATGTCAGAATAATAAAGGCTTATTAGTCCTTCTCAGTGAAATCTAAAGAAATGGTGTGCCTATAACTTAGTGTAAAAACCTAAGGCTGCAGTCAAATATTCTTAAGCACACCAAATACTCTCAAGCACACTGATACTGATGGTACAAAACCTCTTAATTTTAGAACCGCTTTCTAACTAATGGATCAACTGCTCAAATAACTTTTCCCGTTACTGAATGGAGCTGAATGAATTCATTGACAAATGCAAGGAGGAAAAACTGAAGTGGGCTTTTACGTTAAAACAGTTCCATGGAAAACATAATTTATTTTCAAAGAACGCCATAAACAAAAACAATGCAATTCCCATGACTCATAGTTTGTATGTTGTAAATGCTCCAGAATATTTTTAATTCTGACAATAATGGACAGAGCATTGAAGATTCACTAAAGAAATGCTATAACATGCAATGCTCCCAGGTTGGATGGGGCTTTGGGCAACCTGGTCTGGTGGGAGGTGTCCCTGCCCATGGCAGGGGGTTGGAACTGGGTGGGCTTTAAGGTCCCTTCTAACCCAAGCCATTATGTGATTCTATAAAAGTACTGATGATACCTAAGCTGTGGCTTTTTTATATATATATGGTACAGAATAACAAGGTTACAGCTGATCTGAGACCATAGTATTAGAAAGTTTAATAAACTGATGCATTTTTATAATACTAACAAGATCCACGCGTTCACTCTGGTATTGAGTGGGTTGATGCGTACTACCTTGCCCGTCTCTTCACTTGTGGTAACTCTTATCAAGCAGGAATAATGTAAAACCCAAGAGCTCACACTCAGTAAAGAAAGCTTATAGTTTCAAATCTTTTATTCTGTCTGCCATTGTTACCTTGTATTACTGTGAAACCAGTATTAGCTATATTATGAATTAAGCTTGATATTTATAATTTTCTGTACACTATTTATCTTTCTCCTGTTGCCTGGGTTTCAAGATCTGAAGCCAATAACAATAGCAATATGTTACCTATTTTTAACATGAAGAGTTCTTCATATAGCACTGATTTAAAACAACACATTTAATGAGCTGAGTTGCCAAAAGTTGGTTGTCAAGTGTATGAAACAAGCTGATGTTAAACAGCAACAGAATTGTCTACACACAAATCTTACTTTTCTTCCCTCACACCAAACGTTAACCTATCGCAGAAGAGAGAATGCTAAAAGTTTTTATATCTTTATAGTTAGGTATGGTTTGGGTTTCTATTTGAAAGTAGTACTGTGACTTGTCAAAATATATCTGCGTGCTTTAAGAGGTGTGTTCAGATATAATAAAAGCTGCATCCACAAGATACACAGGATGGGTTGAATGTCAGAGCTCCGCATTTCTCATAGCTCTTGGACAAAAATCAACGCAATCTGCCTTAACTAAATATTTACTTACATGATAAACTGTGCCTGCAGAAGGCAGATAAAGACTGACACTAGTAATTCATTATCTTGGGGCATGCATATTTTGTTCCACACTTGAGCAACACCACTGCAGGTGCTATAAAGTCTAGGGTAATTACTGCCATGAGAAGAAACAGATCTGATGATTTATCTAGACAATTAATAAATTGAGTTTTAAGATTTAAAGATGCATTGGATTACACTGATGTTATCAAAACTGATAGCAGTGCATGGCTTCTGCTGACAATAACCTTCAAGCTTAAGTAGTTTTACCTACAATGGTAAGAAATTAGTAGGAAGTTTAATTTGGATTCTGTCATGCACAGGAATTGTTTCCAAATGCTCAGATCCTGAGATTCAGAGAGCGATCCTGTGTGAAAACACCTTCCAGAATTAGAAGAGCAAGATAACTTGCATCTGTGTCTATGAAGAGCACTTTACATCTGGAATTTGTAAATGTTGCCAGGTTACCTTACAAGAAAAATAAATAAATTATGACACTTTTATACTTTCTTGTTTTTTTGTGGAAGAAAAAGAAAATCTAGTCTTGGAACTGCTACCAAGAATTTCCTGTGTGCCCTGCCTTGAAAAACCAAGATCCCTGCTGGGTTTGGCTATGGTCAAAGAAGCTGGTGTTTCCGTGGCTTGGGTCGGTAATCTCTGTAGCCACTGCAGCTAAATCATCAGGAATGAGAAGTCTTCAGCTGTGGAGATCCACAGGCTTGTAGAAGCACAGAGGGGATCAAGGAGTTCTTCAGTGAAACATCTGTCCAGGAGCTTGAATACTATATAAAAAGGATATATGGAAAACAGGATATATAAATGAAGAAAAAAAATAAAAGGGGAAGGGAGGGGAAGGGAAAGGATTAGAAAGTATAAGAAAAAAAAAAAGAAGTAGTAGCCAAAATCCCCACAATACTGTGACAGTAAATCAGAGCTCGCTACAACTGATGTGCACCTGAAATGTTTCTCTGTACATGAAAGGTTTCTCAGAATGTGAAAGGTTTGCAGAGAGCTGCAAACTGGCAGAAAAGCTAGTTCAGACTGAATCATATGAAAACAAGGAAAAAAAAATAGGAATGGTGAGACCATTCTGTAGAAGTGGACAAAGCAGAAAACAATGTACTAAGTAGAGCACCCAAGGCAAATGCCAAGAGGTAAAGCTGTGGGCCAAAGCCTCCGAAAGCATAAACAGCCGAGGGCAAGGTCCCTGAGCTGGGGAAGTACAAATGAAAATCCAGAGCGGACCTGAAATACACATGTGATTTTGCTACTTGTTTGCAGTTTAGGAGCTTAATTTTTTTTTTTTTTTTTCCTCAGGGCCTGCTGCTGCCAGTCCCACAGCAGCATGAGCTCTCCAGGGAGGGGAAGAGGGGAGGCAGCAGCAGGAAAAACAATTAAAAAAATGCTCTAAACTGTGTCATCAAACAACTATCTCGTGTCGTGTTTTCCTCCGGGATTTATTAGCCTGACTTTTCCTGGATTTAGCTGTATTTCTGCAGCCAAGGGACGGGGAGCACAAGGCAGGCATGCCAGGGAAGTGTTGCCTCAGGAAAATCAGCTGGGATGTGGTTAGCACGCAGTGGATGCGCAGTGCAGCTGCGAGCTCTTTGCACGAAACAGTGAGGTGATGGTCAGCACCCAGTACTGGCCTGAACGTGAATCTGGCAAGGGATGTCAAGGGCAGCAAGGAGGGACTCTACGGGTGCACAAACAGCACGAGGAAGACCAGGGAGAGTGTGGATCTACTGCTGGATGCAGCAGAGACCTGGCGACACGGGACAGGACAAGGTACTCAGCGCCTTCTTTGCCTCATGGTGAGTTTTTACTGGGCTTCCCAGTACAAAAATGGTGCGGATGTACTGGAATGAGTCCAGTGCAGGGCCAGAAAGATTTTGGAGCATGTCATGAGGAGAGGCTGAGGGAGCTGGGACTGTTCAGTCTGGGGACAGAAGGATGAGGGGGGAACCTTATCATTGTATATAAATACCAGATGCGGGGGAGTGAAGAACAGAGACACTTCAGCAGTGTCCACTGGTAGGACAAGAGGCAATGGGAACAAAATAAATGAAATTCTGAAAAGAATTTCTGAAAAGAAAACACTTTTTTTTTTTTCACTGAGAGTGGTAAATACACATCCTAAGACAATTGATAAAATCTAGTAGTTATAAATTATTATATATTAAAGATAAAATTATTAAATACTTTTATTAATAATATTTAATATGTTAAATCCTATATTACTTTTTCCGAACGCTTCCTTTAATCCCCAGATGTGGGATTTAACACCCATCTGTGTTGTTGATCATCTCATAGATGTCTAACTTCCCTTTGCATGACCTCTTTCCCTGACTGAAGAAGTTTGGTGGGTTTGTGTGGATCTTCCATGCCCTTTGTTGCTTGTCTCTGATCTTTTTACCACTTCTGCTCTACCCTTTTGAGATAAGGAAACCAGCACTGTCCGTGTAATTCAAGGCACAAGCAAATCAAAGGTTTCAACAGTGCCACAATAACATTCTCTGCTCTGTTATTTGTTTCTCCTCTACCTCTGCCCAGTATTGGATGTGCTTTCTTATCTGCTTCTTATCGTGTAAACTGATGTTTTCAGGACCCATCATAACTGCATGATCTCATTCATGAGTAACTGCTCAGATTGACTTCCTGACTCATAAAGCGGTTCGGATAGAAGGGTATTTTAGTGTAAGAGCTAAATATATGGACATTAAGCAGGTGATTCCAGTAGGTAGAGTGATGGTTTTGCCAAAACAAAGGTGTAAGTAGATCTGGTACAAAAAGGAGTAGGTGGCCAAACCAAGACAAGGAGGCAAAGCCATGGATGCTGCGAGTCAGTGGGCTGGCTGTGAGTGCTGACAGTGTGTTTGTTGTGGCTCTGTTTATATACATAGGGATGTATAGAGGCCAGCAGCCGGCCTAGTTGACCGATCCCTGTGTGCGTTTGTGCTCACCGGGGCTGGCACTTGGCTTTTGTCACAGCCACAGAGCAGCGGTCCTAAAAACGAGTTCAGTTTAACCTAGCCTGAGGTACAATGAGGAAGCAGAAAGCCCATAAGCATCTTCCAGGCACTGTGCAGGTCACACGAGCCTTGGAGGGGAGAGGTAACACTTTGCAGCACTGACAGAAACCCTCTTCCTTCTGAATGTCCTCAGAGCATTTCTGGTGCCAGAGCTCTTTCAGGGCACCATCTCCTCTGCCTCTGCACCATAACCCCTCTGTACCCTGCTCCCTGAGGATGAGCTCTCCCCTGCTCTCCCCTCACGGAGCAGCAGGCCTCCATGCCCTTCTCCATGGCACTGTGCTGGGGAAGGACCCCACAGAGGTGGGAAGTGACATGTCTGACAGAGGTTGTCCTATATCATCTTCCTCCTCCTGCTTGGAGCTAGTTGAAAACAATTGGGAGTGTTTTCCTCAGGTTGGTAGCTCAACCATTCTGTGTTTCTGTAATATCCTGGGGCTGAAGTGGGCATTTCATGGCCTGGCTCTGGTGAGATTTGTGTGCAGTCGTGCTCACAGACATCTAGAGGGTCGAGGATTGAGCCTGAAGAACGTCAGCCAGGGGTGGTGCTGTCTTTCTTCTGTGCCACACTCTCCACCAGACAATGGTATCCCCACATTTTGTCTCCAAAGCCTTTGCTTTGAATCCAGCCACTAAGATTGTTGGTGGTGATTAATCATGCACTGCTTTTGTCTTGCTGTGTGTAGGAAGAAGTTAAAGTGACTGACTACTCTGCAGTGACAGTCTCCAGCTTTCTGTGAGGGTTTTATGGATGCAGCCACCCGATAACAGCACAGTGCCAAGAGAAGAGTAATGGCTTTGCTTTTGTGCTGTTGCTCTTTTCAGCTCAGTTCTTTCCATTCTCTCCAGAATCGTGGCCAAACTAGAAAACAGAGATGAACATCTCTCCTTGAAGGAAAAATAATGCCTCCAGCTGTGCTCAAGTTGATTTGTTGTGACCTGCCACACAGCCTGGATCACTGTGTTCAGTTCAGTTGAAATGGCAACACCAGTTTGGGTCCCATAAACAAAGTCTGGCAGAACTGGGACAGGAAGGATGTTTTCACGTCCTCTACCATCATTTTTGCTCCATCTTCATTTTACATCAATATGCATTTTTCTATTTTCATTGGTAGCGTGGTGCATTATTCTAGCGTTCACTCATGGTTCTTGTCACCAAGTATGATGTTATTCACAGATGATGTCTTCATATTGATACGAATACTGCTGGCCCTTAGGATCCCTTGTTAAGAGTCTCTGGGGAGAACAGATTTGTTATATTTAGTACTGCTCACAAGCTTTTTGTATGCGTGGCTTGACTTGCCGAGAAACTGCTGGGTGTTGTGTTAATAGAAAGCTGAGAGGCACACACAGCTTGGCAGGGCTTACACATGACAACATCATCATATGTCTGTCCCCATCTGTGCAAACACCTAATTGTACCTAACTCGTTCCAATTCATGCGCTGAATTAGTGATTCACAGCATTAACGATGACTGGCATTTGCATCAGCCGGGCCCATCAGAGCATGAACAGGTAAAAAGGTTCATCTCAGGCCTCCCTTGCCGTGTCTGAACGTGCCTACAAGCAGCTGGGGACCTGCACAGCCTGGCTGGCTGTTTCTTCATCATTTGTACCCCGAAATCCTCAGGCTGAAATTCACAGGGGAGATGGGTCCTTGGCTGTGCTCCTCAGATGTGTGTCCCCATACTTTTTCCTTCTAGCAAAAAGAGGGAACAATTAAAAATAACTCAATCCACACTATACTTTTTTTTTTTTTTTTTTTTTTTTTTCCTGCATCTTTTCCAGAAACATCTAGGAGGTGTTGCTATAGGAGCCAGAGTGCTGGACCCGTGTCTGATTGTGTCAGGGCATTTCTGGTTCTGGAAAACAGTTCCTAGTGCCCACTAGTGGATAATGCCAGTGCCATTGTACTATTTTCTTTGTATAAAGGAATCATTCAGTAATTAAACAAGAACACAGTTGGGGTTGTTCTGATATATCATCAAGCAAATGGGAAATCCCATTTTTTTCCACTCAGATTTCAGTGTGTTTGATACTACCTGAAACTGGTACAGGCATATTAATGATTTACAGCTGGCAATTCTCCCTAGCAGTGGCTTTTATTTAATCGCTGCCATTATTTTCAAAGATTTGATTACATTCTTAGTTATTAGTGTACATACTTCCTCCAAATTGCCATCTGATAAGGTCAGCAATAATTTTTAGTCTGGAAATTTCAACGGGTCATGTTAAAATGCTAAAAAGCCCTGCTCCCCACTTCCTCTTTGTTGTTTGTATCTCAGCTTACATTGCTTTCTAGCCTCTGATGAGTCACCACACATATTTTGTACTGATTCTTTAAACATTTCACGACCAAGCAGTGATTTTGATTTCTATGTTTTCTGGACAGAAAAAGTGCCAGTTTTGCCTGCAGGTAACACTGGATCTTGCCAGATTGAAGGAACTCTCTTTCCCAAGCAATGATTGCACAGCATATGCTGAAAACCACATGCAGGTGACTGTGCTAACTTTTGGAGATTTTTATGACATCTGGGTCTCGAGTGCACGTCGCTTTATAATGCAGCTGAATATTATGAAGACTTAAAACATGAACAGCATAAAATATAACAGCCAATTATGAGGATATAAATGAAAATTTTAAATACCAGAGACTCTTACCTATGCAAATTTGAGTTCCCTTCTACTATTTGTCAAGGCTGTGGGATGGCACAGAATATTACTGAGTGTTGATGTTCATCCTGGGGATAGAACAACGCAGCGTTTCAGGTTTAGCAGAGCATTTTTAGAGGCTAGGGTTCACAGACTGGCCCACGGTTTACTGACTTCTGCAAACAAATCCAACAAATCCCTTTACATTTCCGTGTAGAGGGCCCTGCAGTGCCTCCTGCCTTGGCCAGTGACTGCCACTCTCAAGGCAGGGGGAGCAAGAGAGATTTCCTTGCTCACCTTCTCTGCTGTCTCCACCCTGCTCAAGCTTGCCACCAGCTGAGGGAGGTGTCAGGCAGTTGTGAAGATGGCTTTGACCTTGCAGCCTGCAGTTTCCTCCTCCAGCTGGTGATCATTCACCCCCGTATCTCACCCCCGTATCTCTTCCTAGCAATCAGGGCAGCTCGTAGATAATGACACAGGCTCAGCATGTGCTGCAGCATCACCGGTGAAGCAATCTCAAGAGGGTTGTGTTGGTGAAGGGATGTTGTCTTCCTAATCTGCTCCTGCTTTATTATTATTATTATTATTATTATTATTATTATTATTATTAGAAAATAAAATAAAAGAAATCATTTTATTCCTTTCATTTTATTCCTTTTTTTTTTTTTTTTTTTTTTTTTTTTTAAGTAAAACCTCAAATTTTTGAAAGGTATTGTAAAGAAGAAAAAAAAAAAAAAGGAAGTATTGACCTCAGATGTTTTTCTGTGATGAAGAAAAGAAGGAAGTAGGAAGCACATAACTGACTTATTACTTGGAGAGATGCAGTACTTCTGAATTAAAAAAATAAATAAATAAAAAATAATCAGAGTAACATCTCCACACCCAGCAGTTGAAATGGTGGTTAATATTTGTCAGATTAGCGTGAGGTGTTTAGATGTACTATGAAGGTATCAGTGATACAGCCTGTAGCGTGCTTGCACAGATGAAACAAGGCATATGAACATCAAACTCTTTTCACAGAAATAAATAAACCATCATCATGATTCCTGCTTACCCTGAAGAATCCTATGCTGCATCTTACCCAGGTCTTGTACAGATTGTTTTAGCAGTGCAGAGAAACTTTTCATACTCATAAAATACAGTTAAACTCCTGTGTCACTTGCCTATTTTAACTTTACATGCAATAACTTAGTAAAACTTTAACGAGTAATCAGCTGTATGAATGAATTAACCCCGTGGGTGATGCCTGTTGTGCCAGCATAATTATTTGTCAGCAGATTATTTTTTTTTTCTCTTATCAGGAAATAGCCTCGATTACTAAACTAAATCGGTATGTGAAACCATATGGTGTTTTTGAGCTGCATGGTTACTGTGGAGGCTACGCGGCTCCTGACCCTAAACAGAATCTTTTTTAAGAAAAAAAAAAAGAAGCAGTGTCCCTGTTCCTTATAAGGCAGGGGCAGGCTTCCCCAGCGCTGTGAGAGGGGCGGTAACGGGTTATTTCAGCGGAGCTCCTCCAGCAGAAGTCGCAGCGGAGTGGAGAAGTTGCATTGAAATTACAAGCCCTTCATTGCCGAGCTGAGCAACTCCATCAAGAGAGGAGACATCAGGTGAAACAAGCGAACAAAAAAAAAGCACAACTTGATCATGGGAAAATCAGGTGAGCAAATGCTTCTGTGCAGTTGGCTGCATGTTCTTACGATAGCATGGCTCGGGTTTGTGCTCCGAAAGCCTTCCCGAAGCCTTAGTGGCTTTTCTCTCGGCAGGCTGCTTTCATTTGTGCATCTTGCAGGCTGGGAGGAGCATTCCCTATGACACAGTGAAACGGGACCGTTACATTAGGAAAGCGAGGAGAAGGAAAAAAGAAAAAGCACCCCCCAAAACCTGCAAAACGTAGAGGTTGTATTGTAAGCCTGATAGCTTTAATACTGCTTTGTGTATAGCTGCCTGACAACGCTTCCTGTGCTGCAGACAGTCTGCAGACTTGCTGGCTTGGAGAGAGAAGCTTTTTTTTATTGCCCTTTCTTTCAGGAGGATTTAGATTTAAGCTCTGGTTACACTTTAACCAAGTACAGGCTGGCTGGGCTCAAAAGTTCTTCCCCAGCTGTGCGGATTTTTGTGAAGCCTCTTGTTTCTGCCAGCTGTTGGTTGCATTATCGCCCGCTCATCTCTTGTCTGTGGGCCTGGGTCCTACGTTCTGTGTTGGAGAAAACCCCTCTGAAGCTGCCTTACAAGCTGGAGACCTTAAAAAGAGAGAGCTCACGCCCCAGGGCTTGGTCCGCCCTCGTCCCGTTAGAGCTGCAAGCAGTTCCCCTTGAACAGAGACATGCCTAGAGCCTGGAAATCTGTGCTTAATTTTAAACCGCTACAAAAATGGGTAGTTTAGTCTTGTTCTTGTGGTCAGGATGTTATTTCTGCAACTAATCAGAGCCCAGTGGCATGTTATCTACCTGTCTTTTCCATAAAAGAGCACGTGTGGGACATGCTGGGTAAAATCCACTTTAAAAAAAATCTTGATAAATTCACTTAAAATCACAGGGAAACTTGAGGAAAATCTGTGTGCGGGTAACACGCTGATGGGCCCCAGCATGGGTGTGTTGAGGTTTCTTTCTTTTTCCTTTTTAAAGGTCAGCAGCCGTATGAAGTCCGAGCCATGTGAAAGTGTGGCTGTTGCAGGGCTTGCTCTTACTACCCGGCATGCGGCGGCAGTCTGACAGCCAGCCCAGGCTTAGCACCATAGCCTGCAGTCTGTGTGTATTCAAGTGGGTTAGGATTAGTAAAATTACCTTAAAACTGTTAAAATAACTGTAGTCGCTTGAAAGTGTCACGTTCAGAAGTTCCTTGCTAGTGGCATGAAAGGCACAAGTGCCAGATAAGCCTAGCACCCCCGTGCTACATTAGCAAAGTTGGTTGGGCAAAGGCAGTAGAGACTTAATGTGCCCCTCACAATCCCAAACAGTTTAAAATCTCTTAATTTTAATGCCTCTGCAAATTGCTAATACAGTTGTAAGGCAACTGCTATCTTTAGCTATTAGCCCTGCACACCAGCTCTTTGTTTCAAAATTAGGAGCAAAGGCAGACGAGAAATTCCTTTCATGGAGGCTTTTGTTTCCTTCTCCAAGAAGTTACACAAATAGAGCTTGAGATCTAAGCACATCTTAAACTTTTTTTTTCTCACTTGTGTCATGCTTTTCAAATCAATGGCAAGCTGGGTCCGGGTAGCTGCCTTTGAACTGTATGAGGTATTTTTTGGATGGACCACAATCAGAGCTCCTGTCCTGACAATCGGTTCATTGATTAAATCTGCCCTTTTCACCACCCTGAAGTCTCTAAATTCCTGTCTGAGACTGTTCAGTGTTGTTTGCCATTGAACGGGTGAGAGCAGCTATTTGGAAGAGTACAGCTTCCTCTGTGTTTTGGGTAAAACATCGCATGGTCCAGCCATGGTACTACTGAGGGCACACAGCAGGCTTAGGCGATGTGGGCAGGTTTCTCTGTACTGGGATGTGTGGAAACATAACAGGTTGGGACCGGTCTGACCTCTTGGTGACACCCAAAGAGTGCACGCTCCTCTCCTGGATCAGAAAGGCTACAGCAGAGATTACCTGCAGGCATAAATTTAGTGAATAATTCATGATTTGTGAATTAGAGCACCCCTACTTCACATAAACTGGGGGCTCTGTATTTTAGAATAAATGTCTTCAGAGCAGTTTCTTTACCTCTGTATCTTTGGTGAATTTGTCCTGAGGTCTAAGTGTCCCCAGGCAGATAAATCCCGCTGCTTATAACCTCGGTTCCTTGCAGGAACTTGGATAAAAGCTCCCCAGCAATGTGTTGCTACTAGCTGTTAGGTTGCTCTTGAAGGGGTGCTCTTTGTAAGTATTACAGCCAGCTCGCAGATGCAGCAGTGTTTTTGCTTCGCTTATTACGACTGAGCCCTGGAAGACATCAGTATCTCTGACTCAGCTTCCTTGGAAGCGGCAGGCTGCTAAAACCGAGTGCACGCTGGAACTCCCCCATCAGACTCGGAAAAATGCCTCCCATGGAGACAACTTTTGCAAACACTGAGGCAAAACACGGGGACCCCCCTCGGTCCTCCCACCGGTCTTCTCTCTTTTACGCAGCATCTGGGCTAGCAGGTGGCGCAGGCTCCCCTCCCGTGGGATCTCAGCCCCCTCCCAAAATATATTGGCGAGTGTTTTCGGCAGGAAATGAACCGATGGTGAGCTGGCTGCTCTTTTTTTTGTTGGCGTGCTGCTACGAGCCTCGTCACGGCACAGCTCTGACCCCCCTGCAGCTGTGCGCGGAGGCCGGGGTCCCGGAGCAGCCATCGCCCTGGAGGGGTTATCCACAGCAGCAGCTGCCAGCCCTCTTCAGGAAGGCAGCTGGCGGCCAGAGCCACTCCTCCGCACTGGGATGGTTGGGGAGGTGGCAGAGAGAGGCTGTGGAAAGTCTCATTTCTTCCATTTCCCCTCCGGGAAAGAGATCTCGCCCCCCCTTTGCCCTCTAAACGCCAAGCAGAGGTGATGGGGAGGGAATCAAGTGCTCTTTGACTCCTGGCCGCGGGGTGCAGGGCACGCAGACAAAGAGAAGAATGGGCTCAGTAAATATTGGGTATCTTTTTTACAGTGTTTGGTTTCCTTATTTTCTTTCCTTCCCCCCCTCCTGCCACTGCAAATGTGGGTGGGTCTCCAGAGAGGTGGCTGGGAGTTACCCACTGTGCTGCGCATTGAGTCAGTGAAAAAATAAGCAAGGGCCACGAAGGGGTTCCAATAACAAGAAGAGAGATATGAATCAAACCCAGTGCGGTTTTTCCTCATTGCCTTTAGGCTCCCCGAGAAGCATGTGCTGGTTTTTAGCTTTGAAGATGCATCTTTGGAGCAGGGGGGGAAAAAAAAAGGACGTTCAGTTGATCTTGCACTCGGCGTCTCGAGAGGAGACAGCTGTGGCAGCTCTTAACCAAGCTCAAGTATCCTAGACAAATGACCTGTTTGCTTTCTGAGAAACGTGATACTCACAGACTGACAAAATGACAATGCATTTTGTGTTGGCTGGCTTTGGAGGACCCGTGGTGATACAGGAAACGAATGCCGAAACTGCAAGTAACCAGCCCTGCATGTTGGGTAACGCCGGGGCATCTGCAGAACTTGTGATTAATGCAAGTTACTGGCGGTTTCTTTTTACATCACAGCTGAATTGGAGGAGTAGTAGGAAAAGGGCCCTTCAAAAATCAAGCTGGTTCAATTTAAAAAGCCACGCTTCTCCAGTTTCTGTGTGTAGATGATGCTAATTACTCAGTTCAAGTTTGGTGAATGGGAAGTGGAGGAAGATCTGCCAGGAAGGCATCAGGCTCTAGCAAATAATATTCAGGGCCTAATTTTTATAATCATAGTCTAGGCAGAGGAGAAGGCCAACAACTGGCCAGAGGAGCAGCAGCCACCTCTTGTAAGAGTAGTTACTCCTGTTTGCTCCTAGATTAGTCGCCTTAGCTCCTGGTGTTCAAGGCAGATAAGCA